CGGCCGCGCCGGGCCCGCCGTCGCCGCCCGCCATCGCGGCCGCCGCCGCGATCGCGCTCGCGGCCATCGCCGCGGCCGCGGCCGCGGCGGCGTCAGGACCCGCGGCAACGCCCCCGGCCGCGCCCTTGACAACCACCCCCCCGGCGCCCGCAGCGGCGGCGCCCTCGCCCTCCCCAGCCACACTATCCACCTGCGGCTGCTCGCCATCGCCCGCCCCAGCCTCTCCCCCTTCCTCTTCCGTCTCCCCCGTCGCCGCCATGACGAGCGCGTCGAACGCGTGGCTCACGCCGCTGTTGCTGCGCCTCGGGCTCGACGGCTGCTGCTGCGCGGCCGCCGCGGCCGCGGCGACGGCCGCGGCGTGGTGCTGCTGCAGCGCGGCGCCCATGATCTGGCCCATGGCGCCCATGCCCATTGGCGGCATGCCCAGCCCCATCTGCTGCAGGCCCGGCAGCGCGCCGGCCATGAACGGCAGGCCGGGGCGCATGCCAAACGCCTGCGCGCGGCACGGCACGGGGGTCGGCGGGCGGCGGGCGTCCATGCGTGTGCGGTTTGCTGGTTGCGCAATTGCAGCTCCTGCGCATGCGGCAAACGCGCGTGTGTACGCGTGCTGTGTGGGGCGAACCGGGCCCTGGCACACCCTGTGCTGTGCACCAAAGCGCCGCAGCGCCGCGTCGCACCTGCTGCGCCTGCGGCGGCACCGCGCCGCGCATGCCGCCGCCCATGCCGCCGGCCACCCCATGCGGCCAGACCTTGTGGCACGAGCACGCCTCCGGCCCCGCGCTCACGAATATCGACTGCGGGCGCGACGCGGCAGGGGCGGCGGGCGTGATCTCGAACGGCTGCGGCCGGCGCCGCGTTTGAAATGCAGCGCGCCCTCCAGGCCCGATCCCGGACCTCTGGTCAGGCGCAGCGCCGAGCGACGCAGCCGCGCAGCCGCGCCACCGTCTCGCCTCGCCTCGTGCGCCGTCGCCCAGCGGCGCGCTGCTGTGCGGGGCTCTCGCTTCTCCCGTGTCCCAGCCACCCAAGGGATCCCGGGCCAGCACATCTCCTCTCCCCGCTTGAAAAGATGACTCACCTGGTTGTCGTTTTTGGCGTCGATGATTTCGACGTCCACCATGCAGGGGCACAGCCCCAGGTACTCCAGGTCGTAGCGGATGACTGATGACGGCGCGCGGTGACGTCACGTGGGCGGCGGGCGCGGGCTCAGGGGATGCGCAGGGATGTGAGGGATGCCTAGGGACCCCGAGCACGGCAGCAGCTGCCGCGTAGCTGCCGGCACACCCCTCAAACACAGCCTCGTGGAAACACTCAACAAGCACTCAGCCTGTTACACACCCTTGTGGGCATGGCCCTCAAACACAGAAGAGCCACGCACCCGTGAACAGGTATTGGTCGTCGTTGCCGTATCTGTTGCGGTCCAGGTTTGTCGAGTACTGCCCCGCCTCTCCATCTGACAGATAGTGCTTGCGCAGCTCATCAGGCACGCGGTGGGTGCCGGTGGTGAGCTCGACCACCTTTGTGCGGCGCGTGTTGTTTGACAGGATCTGCGGGCGCACGATTCGGGGCTTAGGGTTACATGCATGCGTGCGTCGCTTTGGTGCGAGGGCATGGGGCGGTGGAAAGGAGGTCGGGGCGGCGGGAGGGACGCCGGCGGCGGGAGGGATGCGGCAGCGACGGCGGCGGGAGCAGGAGGCGTTGCAGCTTCGCACCTGCAGGATGTTGCGCCGCTCCGCGATGCGGCACGACTCCGCCACATGCAGCGTGTGCAGCACCTGCGGGCGCCCATGCGCAACGCGTGGTGGGGCCAGGTAAAGAGAGGGCGCTTGGAGGGGCGCCATCAGCCGCGCAAAGTCAGCCTCCCGCGCCGCGCCGCGCCGCGCCGCGCCCTCCGACGTCGCCCGTGCCCTGCGGCGGCGCGCCGGCTACTCGCCTGCAGGAACGCGGCCGTCACGCTGGCGCAGGCGTCCGTCTCTGTGGGCAGGTGCTGGGTGCCGTTGCGCAGCTTGAAGCTGTAGTGATTCCACCGAAAGTAGGCCTTGTAACTGCCGACACGGCAAGGGGGTGCGGCAGCAATGCGGGCGTGTGCGCCCGGTCAGTGGGAGCGGCCAGGTCGGAAGTATGCACCCGGTCAGTGGCGATGGGCAGGTCCGAAGGTTGGCTCAAGACACGTGGGAGCGCCCCGGCTGTGCAAATCAAGGGGTGGGGACAGCTGACGCTGCCGGACGTTTGAAGTGCGCACGGCGCCCCCAGGCACGTGGCCGCCCACGCGGCTCACAGGAGTTGGTTGTTGGTCGGGCGCGAGCGCCCCGCGTTGCTGCCGGCGCGCGCCGTCTGCTGCACGGCCGCGCGGCGGACGCGCTGTGCGTTGCCGTGGCTGCTGCCGCCACTGCGGTACCCGCCATCGTCGCCGCCGAGCCACTCCTCGTCGTCATCAGAGGTGCTGCGCCCCTTGTTATTGCGCATCGTCCCGCGGTATACAAACTCCGTTAGACTACGGCAGCCTCCGCGAGACTCCGCGAGTGCCAGTGGGCTTGCTGGCTAGATGTGGTGTTGCAGGTTGGCCCAGCTACCGAGGGCCGCTGCTATGGGATTCACGACCCTGTAAGGAGGGTGTTTTCACAAGCCAAAGAGTGCTGCTGGGTGCGGAAGTGGCCCTGTTGTGGGGACCGCGAGCCGTGGCCACGCCAGCCTAATGAGGCGGCCAGGGTGGAAGACAGACAAATCAAACGCTATGTTAGTGCTGGGCTGGAGCCCAGCTTTAGATCGGTGGAGCGATGAGACTGTAAAAGCACGCCACTGCCCGGGATGGTCGGTTGGCGGTCAATTAATTGTCAAGAACTGCAGCATCGTGAAGATAAAAGCAAAGCCTTCCCATTGAAGAACGGCAAGCCGCCAACAGGCCTGCTGCATGAAACCTTTGTTCCCGTTCTTATCTCGGGCCAGTTCCGAGGAGTCAGGGCCGACACCAGGTGCGCCAGGACGCCATCTTATACGCAATGATCTCACTGAGGGCTTGTGCCGGCCCGGCCCGACGCAGCCGGACCGACGGCTGCGGCCCTGAGCCACACATCTCTGCTTTGCTACTGCTTCTGGGGGGTCATGGGGTGACGGCCTGACGGAAGAAACGTTGCAGTGGCGCAGCAACTCCCCACATAAGGCCGCACACCCAGTGATATGGAATCAGTTCACTCAATGGAGACGCGTGTACTCTGCAACATGGTGCATGGTGTAGCCACGCAGGTGCATGCTACCGTGTTTGGGCCCCTTGGCTCAACCAGCAACCCCAGGTCTCACTGGTGCACCGAGTACGAACCCGTTAGACCACCTCGTTGCATTGCACACGCCCGTGCACGCGCAGGCGCCCCACCCCGCAAGCTCTGAACGCGCGATCAGATCCCTCGCGGGCCGCGAAACGCCCCGGGCCGCGCCGCGCGACGCGAGTGGCCGTGCGAGGGTCAAAGCTAACGAGAAGGCGAGGTTGCCAGCCGCAGCTCTGGTGCGGGGGTTGAATGCTCGCTGCGCGCTGCGGCGTGTGCCGCAGCGTGCGCCGGGCGAGCCCCAGCCGTCAGACATGCAGCCGCGGCCAGGATCCGGCCACACCAAGGCGGCTCCACGCCCGCCCAATGCATACGTTTGCGCAGGGAGGTGTTGCGACAGATCTTAGACAATGAAAGGCAGCACCACCTTTGATCAAAGTGAATGCGGCAAGCAGTGAAATGGGCATAGCATTCAGCTCAAAACATACAGTGTGTACAAGGAACAACACACGGCCATGCGCATAGAGAGGTAAAAGGTCAAAGCACAACGCGCCTGCGCTAAGAATTTATTCCCTCTGCCAACCCCCGCACCCCCAATGGGGGGCGCCGCGCCCTAGACCACATCTGCCGGCCCTGAACCGCCCCGCTGCCTGCTGCGCCTATGTTATTGGGACCGCTGCCCAGCACCCGGCGGCGGCGGCGGCGGCGGCAGCGTCGGCGGCGGCGGCGGCGGCCGCGGCCGAGCCGTCGGCGGCAGCAGGGGCAGCCGCTGCGGCAGCGGCGGAGGCGGCGCCAGGGGTGGCAGCAGCGGCGCCGCGTCGCACTGAGCCATGCGGATGATGCCCTGCTTGGGGGGGTCTGGGGGCACGCAGGGCTCTAATGAAATCAAAATGACATCAGCGATCCCTCCGGCGTCCGCGTCCCCCGGCGGCGCGCTGTGCCGCCGCACCGCCCGCGGCGTGCCGGCCGCCGCACCGCCCGCGACGGCGGCGGCAGCGGCCGCCCTAGCGCCGAGCCGCGGCGATTCTGGGGGTGGCGCGGGCTGCAGGCCGTCGTCGCTGCAATCGCTGCCAGGGGCGGGTACGCCCCGCGCGGCGGGAGCTGCTCTCATGCCAATGGAAGCATCCCCCGAGGCGCAAGACGCGCCGCACGACGCGCCGCCCCCCTCCCTATCGGCGCCCGCACCCACGGTCGCAGCCGCGAGCGCAGGGGGGCACACGAAACCGTGGGCGGGCGCGCCGCCGCCCTCGGCCCGCGGCTCTGCTTGTTGGTGGCCACCTGGCGGCTCGCGTCGCCGCTGGTCCCTCGGGGGCCGCGCCTCATCTTCCGTCGGCCACTCGCCCCGCCCAGCATCCTCTTCCCCCTCCTCCTCCCGCTGCTGCCGCCGCTGCTGCTGCTGCTGCTGCTGCTGCTGCTGCTGCTGCTGCTGCTGCTGCTGCTGCTGCTGCTGCTGCTGCTGCTGCTGCTGCTGCTGTTGCTGCTGCTGCTGCACCTGCTGCTGCTGCTGCTGCTGCGCCAGCCGCAGCTCAGCAAGCCTCGCAGCCAGCTTGGGTGCGCCCGCAGCAGCGGCCCGGCCGCCGGCTGGGGCGTCCCCGGGCACGTCAGCGCCGCCGTCCGCCGGCGCTGACAGCAGTTCAGGGACGCTGCGCACGCGCTGCGGCGCCGCAGCCGCCGCCGCCGCGGACGCGTTGTTGCCCTCCGCAGCGGCAAAGGGCGAGCGCGGCGGCACGGGGGCGAGCGCGGCGGCGGCGGCGGCGGCGCCTGGAGGGGGCTGGGCGCAGAGGCCGCCAGCGACGCTGCGGGGACGGGGGACGGTGACGCTGCGCGTGCGGACGCCACGTGATAGCACGTCTGGTGACAATCCCATGTCTTGCTGCAGCCTATGGGGGCGGGCC